GTACAGGAGGAAGAAGAAGAATGGAGGCCGACTCCAGCTCGGGAACATATTGAATGATACATTGGTTACTACTAGCAATGACAATCATAGCAATGACAATCATGCTTGCTTCTTTCCAAGAACTAGAGGCAGAGACAAAACCAAATTGGGTAAGGCAGAGGCAAAACCAAATTGTTGCTCTCTAGCCACCTGATACTATGTATTTCTGCATTTTTAGGTTTTTCTTTATGTCTCTAATGTACTTTTTAGTATTTTCTAGTTGTGGAACCCTTTGTGGTTTTGTTGTGAGCAGGGTGTCATGTTTGAGCCCTCCATCACAAATATTGGTTATTACGTGATATGCATTCCTTACATGCTTACCTCTTGGATGTAGTCTTCATTCAACTTGATAAGGAAGATTTACGTGCATGCTGCTCAATTCTTATGTATTTACATATCCGACACTTAAACTTTAACTTTTACATATGAGCTTACCTGTGCACAAAAAGATATATTTCACTTTTTAAATGTAAAAATAGTGGTATTTATTATGTGATAAAAGATTTGGGTGGTGGGAATGTAAAAAGCAAAATTTCGGTGTTATATTTATAAATACATAAGAATTGGGTGGTATGTATGTAAATGCCCCTAATTTTAAACCAACACTGCTTGGCAGCTGCAAATGGTATCTTTCATGGCCAGGAAATGTTATTAATTTGTGTTGTAATTTTCTTGGAAATCATATTGCTCCTGCATTATTAAATTTATTAGAAGCTAATGAAATTGCATTCTATGGTCGTTGTTTGATATGACTTATGAAGAACACAAAATCATTTATTTAAGTTTTCATGTGCTTCACCTATCCACCAGTCCACCGCTGAAATTTGGATTACCTCAGCCAAGCTTCTCCAACCAACAAATAGATCTAGGCTCATCCAGCTCAAAAATGAGCTTCATAACGTTTTAATGAATACCCAATCCATGAGCAATATCTCTCTACCATAGGAACCCTTGTGGATAACATCTCAGCTGCAGGAGGATATCTAGATCTCATGAGGATATCATCCTATACACTTTAAATGGTCTAACCATCAAACTACCAAGCATTCAGACAACAATCCGTACACAACTACAACCAATAGAGCTAGATGACTTCTATGTGTTGCTGTGCAGTGAGGAAATCAATCAAGCAGCGAATTAAAACAAACTAGGGTCTTCAGCTAACCCACAATTTGCTATGAATGCTTACCGAGGATGCTCAAACAACTCATCCCATGGTCGTGGAAGAAATCAACCCTCTACTTCTACAAGATCTAAACCAGGCCGCACTTCACACCGTTCTCCAGTTGTGTGTCAAATATGCAACAAATTTGGTCACTCAGTTATGCACTGCTAGCATCGTTCGAATCTTGAATACACACCTACCAACAAGGCATTGCAAGCTGAATCATCATGGGTTCTAGATTTTGGAGCTACAACTCTCCTCATGACAGACCTCAACCAAAATCAACTAGCCACACAAGCTGAAGGATCTAAACACGTTGTGGGAAATGGTCAACCAATAGAGGTGAAACTCACAGGTGATGATATTCTTCCTACACAACCCTGCATTCTTCGTCTTCCTTCCATATGACATGTACCATCCCTCTCCCACAATTTACTTTCCGTTCATAAGCTCGTTGAAGATAATAATGTTGCCATTCTATTTGATAAATTTTGTTCTCTTATCTTTAATCCATACACTCACGAAATCCTACTTCATGGTCATAGCTCAAAAGGGCTTTACTCCATCCCTACTTCATAATGCCATCCATCTACTTCAATCACTCATTAAGCTTTGTCTACATCCACCCAGATGTTTACATTGTGGCACAAAAGGCTTGGACACCCTCATTTGGATACTCTATATCATTTATCCTACTCTCAAGCGGCACTTGGAATATCTTCTTATTTTTCTTTGTGTAATAGTTGCAAATGTAGTGAGAGTCATAGACAATCCTTTCCATCAAGCTCTTCAAATTTGTTTTTTTCTAACTTATACATTCCGATGTATGGGATCCATCCCCAATATTATCAAATCAAAATTATCGTTATTATTTGATTTTTATTGATGAGTGCTCTAAGTTCTGTTGGTTATATCCACTCCATAAAAATTCAAAAATTCCCCAAATATGCTTGCAATTCCTACAAATGCTTAAGAATCAATTTAATGCTACCATTAAAATTTTCGGATCTGATAATGGAGCTAGATATGCCAACTATGAGCTCAAACTAAGCCTTTCATCAATGAGGAATTATACTCTAATTCTCGTGCCCATATACTCAGCAAAATGGAGTGGCCGAACGTAAACACCACCACTTAATCGAGACTACCCGAACCTTATTATATGATGCATCTCTTCCACTCAATATTTGGCTTGAAGCACTTCTGACCGCTATGTATCTTATCAACTGTATGCCCTCCAAGATCACTAAATGGCTTTCTCCTTATGAAATCCTATACAAGAATCCTCATACATACGCTCATTTAAATGTGTTTGGTTGTCTATGCTTCCCATGGTTGGAACCAATGACATCGCTCAAACTAGCCTCCCGCTCCACACCATCTATATTTCTCAGTTATCCTCCAAACCACAAAGGCTTCATGCGCTATGATCCTAACACATCCAAAATTATCATCTCTTGTCATGTAGTTTTTCATGAAACCACCTTTCGACATAGTTAAGACCCTTCCCCAATCTCACCTCAAATCAGTTCTTCACTAAACCCACTACTCATACCTACCTCCTTGAATAATCTAAGGTCTCCTCTTCCAACCCACTTCTCTCACGAATCGCACATCACACAGGGTGTTGCGGCAAACACACAACAGCACATACCTGCAACTAATTTGTCCGCAGGTCCTCCATAGACGGATACTTGCATGTTTGATTGTTGCATCCCTACAACCAGACTCACCATGTCGAACAAGTACCTACTGTGTCCACCTTCACGCAACTCCATCCCATGATAACTACCACCAAAACAAGTACTCTAAAACCCATTCAACGTTTCAGTCTACTGCATCATATTCCACCAATACCTCCCATATCCTACTTGCAAGCGGTAAAAACATGAACACCGGAGAAAAGCAATAAGTGCTGACTTCCATGCACTCCAAGCTCAAGGCACATGAGCACTTGTCTCCCCTCTATCGAACACCAATTTTGGGTTGTTGATGGACATATTGCACCAAATATCATTCAGACGGCTCAGTGACACACTATAAAATAAGGCTAGTAGCATTAGGATTCAATCAAGAGTACAATATAAACTATTATGAAACCTTTAGCCCAGTGGCGAAAATGCCTACTCTCAAAACTCTTTTAACAGTAGCTTTCAATAATCAATGGCCTATCCTACAGTTTGATGTGTCCAATGTCTTCCTTCATGGCACTCTTTAGGAGAAGATCTACATGAGACAACCAAGTGGCTTTACGGATTTGCAATTCCCACAACATGTGTGCTTACTCAAGAAGGCTCTATATGACTTAAAACAATCTCCTAGATAGTTGTACACTACCATATCAAAATTTTTACTCCCGTTTGAATTCATGGTGAGACAGACCGATCCATCTCGACTTATCCTTCGCAAGTCCGCAGGTAATATCCTCTCCTCTATGTAGATAACATTCTGTTAACAGGAGATTGTATGGATACTATGAGTGAACCAACCACCAAACCCTCTAATCACTACCAAATCAAGCAACTTAGGGAGATAAATTCTTGGGTATTGAAGTCTCCCGAACAACACACTCATTGTTTTTTAGCCAAAAATCATACCTTACCAACATCCTCCAAGAGACGACAATAATGGGATTCAAACATATCTCCACTCTTCCAAGTAAGAAACTAGAGTTGCCGATCACTCAACCTCGCATTGAAAATCCAACGGAGTATTGAAGGGTTTCAGGAATTCTACAATACCTTACACTTACCCGACCATATATCTCATTCTCAGTGAATCAAATATGCCAACTCCTACATAAAACAACAATGCATCACTTCCAACAACTTGAACGGCTCCTCCGTTATTTGCTTGTTATACTTGACTATGGCATTCTCATCACCCGTGGTGAGCTTATTCTTGGGCAAGAAATATTGAGAACCGAAAGTCTACTATAGGGTTCTAGTCGATGTTGGGTAAGACACTTATTGCATGGACAGTAAAGAAACAACAAACCATTTCAAGGTCATGGTAGTGGCTACAAATAACATTATATGGCTTCATTGTCTACAAATGGAGCTTGGTGTCCCTCAATCCCAACAGATGAAACTATTTTGTATTAACATCTCAGACATGACACTATCAACCCGGTTTTTCATGTCAGGGCTAGGCACATTGAGATTGACCAACATTTTTTTCGAGATTATCTTCAACGTGGTAAGATCAAGATTCACTACATTCTTACTCAAGACCAATCAAGCGACATCTTTACTAAAGCACTTAATAAACCAAGTTCAATTATTTTCTATCCAAGATTCAGGTTCTCCCCAAGAACCATCATCTTAAAGGGGGATCACAAAAGAAATATTCTCAGGTATGTTCTAACGCACCATGTGCTAAGGAGCAGCAGGTGGAATGCACTACCATTGTAATTACCTAGGGGGTATTTATGTCTTATGCTAAATATAGCTAATAGAATATTCTGCCCTTATTCATATACTCTCCATGTCTGCTTCAGTAATCCATCTTTGTATGGGAGCTGGTGTTGCTGCTTAAAGAACCACTTGTTTTAATAATTTACTTTTTTTGTTTTACAATCAGGGATCAGTCCTTTATTCTGTATGTTCTCTGAACCCCCGATACCTTTTATTTGGAAGGTTTATTTTTAGTTTATTACTTCATCTAGATTGGACCTTTGTGGCATTTGAGTACAAGGATTTCCTGATGAGTTAGTTTAGTACCCTTTTAGTTTTTCTATGCAGTGTTTTTTGCAGTACTGTAGTGATATTAAGTTTTATGTATATCATCTTTGTAGGGCCCTCCATCGGGGGGCAAGTATGATATGGGTGCTATATGTATGCAAGAGCATGCTGACAAGCTTCAAAGTCTAGTAAATGATGCCTTGGAGAAAGGTGCTGAAATTGTAGGCAGAGGAAGCTTTGGAAACCTGGGGGAAGATGCGGTGGATCAATTCTTTCCCCCAACTGTCATAGTGAATGCTAACCACACAATGAAACTGATGCAAGAAGAGGTAACCGTGACTACATATTTTCTTAGTTGCTATTTACTGTTGTGATATGATCGCGTGCTTACTGGACAAAACCTAATTGTTCTGCAGGCTTTTGGGCCTATAATCCCTATTATGAAGTTTGATACAGATGAAGAGGTTATCAAGCTTGCAAACGATTCAAACTATGGTCTTGGCTGTGCTGTATTTTCTAACAACCGAAAACGTGCTGTTGATATAGCTTCTCAGATACACTGTGGAGTTGTTGCTATTAATGATTTTGCATCGAATTACATGTGTCAGGTGGTTAGAAATTTCTAATAATTGCAACTATTGTTTTTCATTTTAATTGCTTTCTAAGCACTATTTTTATTGCAATTTGGGTTCTTTATTCTTATTATTGGGAACGTGTCAGGTTCTTAAACTAAAGTGAGCAAAACGAGCAAAAATATATATTTTGTTCATCTCTGCCTTGCAATGAGCTCGTTTCTAGCTTTTTAGTCTGTGCAACCACACCCAAACATTGGATCTTATTTCTTTCATATATTTTATTTTTTTTCAATAGTCATTGCCATTTGGCGGAGTAAAACACAGTGGATTCGGAAGATTTGCTGGAGTTGAAGGATTGCGAGCCTGCTGCCTTGTGAAGTCCGTGGTTGAAGATAGATGGTGGCCTTATATCAGAACAAAGATACCCAAGCCCATTCAGGTTTGTCTTGTGGGCATAACAAACAACTGAGCAAAATTTTGGGAGTGTATTAACACCATTTCATGTTTGTTCAGTATCCAATTTCAGAGAATGGATTTGAGTTCCAGGAATCTCTGGTTGAAGCTCTCTACAGCCTGAATGTGTGGGATAGGCTTCGGGCTTTGGTCGGAGTGCTGAAGATGATTTCTGAGCAGAACTCTACCTCTCAGACAGATAAAAGATCGTAAAATATCATTGTAATAATGATGTTTCTGCTGCGTATATGTTTTTAAATCTTCGCCTGATAACAGCTTGCTATCGTGATTTTCCCATTGAGCATCAAAAAGAAGCTGTTGCATCTTTCTTCTTCTTGATGATTATTGAATCATAGAAACAAATGATTACTGTGCGATGGTCTATTTTCTGTTTTTTTTTTTTTTTTTTTTTTTTTTTTTTTTTTTTTTTTGGGATGTAGGTATGGTCTTGCACAACACTATCATGTATCAGTTCACACGCGCGCTCGCGCGCATACACACACCAATAAATATATATATATATATATATATCTGCTCAATTGGTGGTATGTTTGTTGGCAGCTTCAACGTAAGTCTCCTCTATGCTGGGCTCCAATTCATTTGTGTTGAATTAGCACATATGGGGCGGATGGACAAATGATGTCGTCCATCTTTAAGCTGAATGATAGAATCGGGCTTTCTTGCTTTCTTTTATTTATTTATTTATTTATTTATTCTGTTATTTAGTAAATAGGGAAAAAGAGTAAGTATTTTAAGAGTATTACATGTATCAGATTAATCTAATATTTTATTACAATATTGAATATAGTATTTATTTTGTTGTTTACTTTTAAAAAATCTCTTCTAATTAAATAAGCAAGATTTAAAAAATAATAATTTCAATATAAAAAATTTCATCTGCACTGGAATATTATATAAGTATAGATCAACGAGATATTTTCCTTTTGTTGATATATTTGATGTGATGCTTTATTTTAAACATCACTAGTATGTATTTATATATACATACGTATTACTGTAGATACGTTTAGTTTTGGTATTGAAAGTTGGCATTATTTTGCTTCTTCATGTGCTCGGCTTTATATGTAATTATAACATTGTATTTTGTTTTGCAGTGGGTTATATTTGTATGCAATATGGTAAGGAAAAATGATGAGGGATGAACAAGGAATGGCCTACAGTTTCATGCTCTGGAAAAAAAGAAGTAAGAAATAAATGAACATGGATTTATATTGCCTGGTTTGAGCATTGCTCTTTCAAATGAGGGTACAGGCAATTTTGTTTCTACTTTTATTTGGCAAGTGAATTGTAGTTGATCTTATTTTTGTGTAAAATGTGTTCAAGTATTAGGGGAGTGGCAGCACTAAATATATATATAAAAGAGGTTTTTTTATTAGGGTTGAGATTGAGTCTCTAAGAATTCAAGGTTAAAGTTTTCAATATTACTATTTGGAAATTTGTAATTAGGATGGTTCAACTAGGAATAGTTCTTTCCAGACTACAAAAGGATAAATTAGGAAATGCTAGATACTTTGAAGTTCAAAAGCACTTTCATTATCTTTCTATTAGGTTGTAATGATTTTGAGATTAAGAGATTTATTGGATCTAAGTTGAACTATTAATCTGAAAACTAGAGCTCATATTTTAGTGAGATTGAATTGTTAGGAAGCTTAGAGCGAGGTCTTGTGACGTAACAAGATGAATGGTTTCTAAACCTGTTTAAATGTGAGGTCTTCTAATCAATCAAAGCATCAAATCTAGTCTAAGGAAATGTAAGAACTGAATATATAACATGGTCCAATGGATGATTAAATAATGACCAACTCTACTAGACTTAAAATTTTACATGGAAATGACTGCCAGTTAAACTTTTCTAATTTCTTAAATCATGAGGTTTGGCCACATGAAATGTCGAATAGGTTGGGTTGTTGACCATTAGAAAAATGTCTAATGATTTTCTTACAAAAATTAGGTTGCATGGTTATGTTTAGATGCAATGTCTCTAATTAATGCAATTATTTTTGTTATATTTTAAAATTTAAAATTTAAATTTTGTTTGATCTAACAAAATGTCTGACTAAAGATGATTGATTTGATTTTGTTTTTCTGGTTTTGTGTTTTTCTCATAACACTAGGGAGAGGTCATGTAGTCTTTATTTACACATGTATGGAAAGTATTAAGGCTAAGTTGAGTGTTAACGATAGATTTAACTGGCGGCTCTTTAAAATGAGGGTACGGGCAATTTTGTTTTTACTTTTATTCGGCAAGCGAATTGTAGTTGCTCTTATTTTTGTATAAAATGTGTTAAAGTATTAGAGGAGTTGCAGCACTCAATATATATATATAATAGAGGCTTTTTTTATTAGGGTTGAGATTGAATCTCTAAGAATTCAAAGTTAAAGTTTTCATTATTACTATTTGGAAATCGGGCATTGTTATACACCTCAAGTAAAAGAGAATGGTGGGGAAGTCGAGCATGTGGCTCTTGCAACAGCTGCTTATTCGCCATCAAAGGGTCAAGAGCTCATCAACACTAGTTCTAGCTAAGAGATTTGTGAGCCCTCCTCTGTTTTCTACCATTAAGATGCCTCTTCAAGTGGCTTCTCAATGTTAGAACTAGAAAGAGAGACATTTGTGAAAGATAAGAGGTCATTTTCTTGTTCTACATTCTTAGGGTATGTAGCAACTCAAATTCTCAAACATCAATGTATTGTTCGCTTTGGCTAAATTTCCTCATGGTTTAACTCCATTGGTTTAACCTCCCAAGAAGACACCCATCCTAGGAGCACTCAAATGCGAGCAAATTTAATTGTGAAGTTTCTAATAAAGTTTCACCGTTACACCAAAAACCACATCGATGTTTAAGAGTTTGACTTTAATTTACTTAAAAGGATAAGCTCATAAGTTCCACTATTTTGAATAATCATAGTGTAAGGAGAAATAAAGTGAATGTTTTATCTAATACTTATGGCAACATGGTTGAGAGTCCCATTTCGACCCTCCCTAGTTGAGCTCAACTCAATCTCCTCATCAATAGTATCTATAAATGCTTACTACTACTTAGTGATATCCTTGAACATCTGTAAAGCTAGCACCTTCACCAGAAGGGGAGCTTTGATGCAGCTGAGCACATTGAGCTCCATATTCGTCATATGCTAGACACGTTTGAGCCCTGCATGTGCCAGCTTTGGCACCTCCTTCTCTATGGGACAGTGGACCGACCTAGTTTCAGTTGACCACCCCCTTTAAAATGAGTGAAATAATTTTTTTTCTTTTAATTGTTCACATTGTTCTCAAGTCCACATAACCAAAATTTTTTTCCAAGATGATCCCCTTTTATTTAGATCAAATGGAAAATATCATTCTGGAATGGTCTTTTAACCAAAGAATCTTCATCTATTTCATATATGCCATCAAAGTTATGATAGTGGCAAATAAACTCGGCTTTATATGTGTTGTAAACCCTAAAAAATATGAAGATATCAATCAACTATTAACAATGGAGCATCATATCCTGATAGTAAAACATACATCAATTAGAGCTGTTGAACTTGCTCGTAAGCCATCTTTGATGATTCAGGGCAGCACCTAAGACAATAGTCATGGGGTTAAAGCAAGAGTGGGTAAACGTAGACAAAAATGATAAAAAAAAATAAAATAATCCTAATGAAACCTCTTTTTTTAGGGCCAGTGAAGTCCCCTGTGAAGTGAGAATCTTGACCAGACCATCCACTGGAGAAGAACTCACCTCAAGGATTGTCGCCTGGACCAAAGCTTTCGCAGGAGTCTTCCTTAACATATCCTCTTATCCAGAAAGCAAATTAGCCTTCCCTTATTTCACTGCCACGTTGTGCCCTCTCTCACCCTCTTTATTTTTTTGACTGAACTTCCCTTGCAATAATTCCTTTTTCATAACGTGCATTTTCGACTGATTGCGATCCACTATGGAGGATTATGAAGAAAAAGGATTATCATACTGATTGCGATCCACTATGGAGGATTATGAAGAAAAAGGATTATCATATCTTGGATGCAATGAGAGGATGTTGGAAAGCAAACTAGTTCAAGAGATGTCTCGTCATTCTATTTATAAGGGCCTGAATCCATAATTCATGGAGGTGTCCACATCATAGGAATTAATTAAATATCATGTTTAATTATTACATTTAATTCCATCAGTTTTATCACATCGTAGTTTTCTAAAAGGCAAGAGAGTCAGATAATTAAATATATACAACCAAAACCTTCTACCTGGACCAATAAGGCTAGAACAATTTTTGACCTTTCTCATCCCAATGCAAATTGATATAAGGATGAGCTCAAGATATTGGTATGAATATTGATATGAATATTGATGAAGGCAAAAAGATTTAACCATTCCTCATCTTTATTTACATTGACATGAAGAGGAGATCAGAGATGCTATCTCAACTTTTATGATGGTTTGACAAAAAAAAAGCCATGTAATCATCGAGGTCTAAGACATAATAAAGACTAATTTTTATCTTCTTAGAGAATTCCACCTCTATAAAATGGGGGTATTAAATGTAAAACGGATTACAATACTTTAGATTCAAAAACTTCTGATTATTGAAATATGGATCATTCATTCATCTATCAAGCTTCTTCTCCTCTCTCTCCTTGCCTACGCTCTACTCCTTGTGTGTGATTCTTGGACAAAAGAAGATCAACATACAAATATCTTGATGTCCAAAGTGATTGTTAATAACAGCGTTGTGAATCTCCAAACTTATTTTTTGTCATCTAAAACACCAACTAATAGCCTGAACTCATTGAAAATTGATTCAAGTCTAAAATAGCAGAAAAATTTTGCTGCTGCAACAATACTCATGAGAACTTACCTTTATGCAAGTAAATTAATAAAAAAAATACAATATTAACTAAACTAATAAATAATCAACATTGTTAGCACAAACGGGCCTCCAAATTAAGATCTAAAATTTTGTTGGTACCATAGAAACTCTTAGCAATTAGAACTTAGAACTCATCCTCTGAAAGGTTGATACAATTGGGCCTATGTAATGCGTCCGCCCTCCAGATAAGCCAGAATCCAATGATATTTATCATATTAAAAATATCGATTATATATATATATATAGAACTGAGTGACATGTGCCCAAAATTTAGTCAAACGTTTACTTTTTATTTTTCCTTAGATCAGGAAATCCTACGGTCTTTCCTCAAAGATTCGTTCCAGCTTCCAGCAGATGTGTTTAATTTGGAAATTATTTAAAATTTAGCCATCTACATAACGACAAAAGTTAAAAATTGAATGTTTGAGCCGGCATTTACTATGGAAAAATATTAGATGAGAACTCCTAACGTAGAGCTGCGTTCGAGATCTAATGAAATGATGCCACGTGGTGGTGACAGAAATATTAAAAAAAAAA